GCACTGGCACCGTCGGTGGGGATCCCTCTGGGTGGGGGAAATCCAAGCGGAAGGTGCCACTGGCGCCTTCGGTGGAACTCCCTATGGGGGCACGAAACGCTGTCTGGGTGGGGGGCGCACGCGGGCGGTAGCACTGGGACCTCCGGTGGATCTCCTTGTGGGGCCACGAAACGCTGCACTGGCCGGGGGGGACGCATGCAGGCGGTACCGCTGGGACCGTCGGTGGAGATCCCTCTGGGGTCTCGAAACGCTGTACTGGGTGGGGTGGGGACGCATGCGAACGGTGCCACTGGGGCCTCCGGTGGAGCTCCCTTCGGGACCACTAAACGCTGCACTGGGCTGGGGGGACGCATGCGGGCGGTAGCGCTGGGACCGCCGGTGGAGATCTCTCGGGGGTCACGAAACGCTGTACTGGGTGTGGGGGGGGGGGGACGCGTGCGGGCGGTAGCACTGGCACCGTCGGTGGAGATCCCTATGGCGACCCCTCACAAAACGCTGCAACTGCAACGAAAATACTGAGCATGGCGGGCGTAGCGCGGAGAACCCGTCGTTGGCGTGACCTGTGGGGCCAAGAACCGCTGTACTGGATGGGGGGGGGACGCGTGCGGGCGTAGCCACTGCACTGGGGGGGGTTTCCCTTCTGGGGGGGAAATCAGGGCGAAGGTGCCACTGGCGGCTTCGGGTGACATACCTATGGGGTCCACGAAAACGCTGTTGTGGGTGGGGGCGCACGCGGGCGGTAGCCACTGGATCTCGGTGGATCTCCTTGTGGGGCCACGAAGACGCGCAATGGCCGGGGGGGACGCATGCAGGCGGTACCGCTGGGACGTCGGTGGAGATCCTCTTGGGTCACGAAACCTGTACTGGGTGGGTGGGGACCATGCGAACGTGCCGTGCGGGGCCTCCGGTGAGAGCTCCCGGAGGCACCACGAAACGCTGCACGGGCTGGGGGACGCATGAGGGGCGGTAGCGCTGGGACCGCCGGTGGAGATTCCGGGGGTCAGAAAGCTGTACTGGGTGGGGGGGGGGGGCCGCGTGCGGGCGGTAGCACTGGCACCGTCGGTGGAGATCCCTATGGGGTCACAAAACGCTGCACTGCGTGGGGGCCACGCATGCGGGCGGTAGCGCTGGGACCGTCGTTGGAGATCCTGTGGGGCCAAGAAACGCTGTACTGGATGGGGGGACGCGTTCGGGCGGTAGCACTGCACGTCGGTGGGATCCTCTGGGTGGGGGTGAAATCCAAGCGGAAGGACCACTGGAGCTCGGTGGAACTCCATATGGGGCACGAAACGCTGTCTGGGTGGGGGGCGCACGCGGCGGTAGCACTGGAACCTCCGGGATCTCCTTGTGGGGCCACGAAACGCTGCACGGCGGGGGGGACGCATGCAGGCGGTACGCTGGGACCGTCGAGTGGGATCCCTCTGGGTCACGAAACGCTGTACTGGGTGGGGTGGGGACGCATGCGAACGGTGCCACTGGGGCTCCGGTGGAGCTCCCTTCGGGACACTAAACGCTGCACTGGGCTGGGGGGACGCCATGCGGGCGGTAGCGCTGGGACCGCGGTGGAGATCTCTCGGGGGTCACGAAACGCTGTACGGGTGGGGGCGCGCGTGCAGGCGGTAGCACTGGCACCGTCGTGGGTTCCCTATGGGCCACGAAACGACTGTGCTGGTTGGGGGGAACGCATGCGGGCGGTAGCAGTGGACATTCGTGGTGCCCATTATGGGGCCACGAAATGTGTGGGTGGGGAAGCGCACGTGGGCGGAAGCATCGGGACCTTCCGTGGAGCACAGGGTGCACGAAACGTGTGAGAGGCGTGCCGAAAGGTAGACTGGTGCTGAAAGCGAGCAGGGATGGGAGGACGGAGGGGGGCAGCGGGAGGAAGGAGGAACGCGGGGCGCTGTCTCTTGAAAAGAGGACCAACACCACAGGATGGTGGGAAACATCACGGAAGCGAAATTAGCCTGGGAAGGACAAAACAACATGCAGCTCCGGATACCGCGTGGGAGATGAGACGAAGAGAGATGGGCGCGCAAACTCCGAGTAGTTCTCATAAGCAGCGCGCCGCAAGAAGAACATGGCGCGGGGCAGTGCGGGCAGGGGTGTGGAGGGGTTGGAGGCCCCAAGAAACTCGAACTTCGGATCCGAATTGAGGATGCTTCTCGCCGCTCGTCCTTCGCCTAGGCCTCCTCCCGTCGTGGTTTTCTTCGCGTCGTCGGGAATCTGCATGGGGTGCAAGACCCTCAGGCCACTGGACCTCTCGTAAGGGCTGCGTGAAGCCTCCCTTGGTCGCGTGCGACCACGCCCGCTGGGTCCGTCGGTGACCGCACCGCTTCCGCAGATGTGGCCACGAAACGTGTGAGGGGTGTGCCGACATGAGTGTGGCGGGCACATGTGGCCACCCCCACTGGGAACTTCGGTGGGGCCACATAACGTGTGAGGGGTGTCCCGAAATAGGTGGCGGGCACGCATGTGGCCACCCCCACTGGAAACTTCGATGAGGTTCCCTAGGGAGCCACGAAACATGTGAGGGTGTCCCGAAATGAGCAAGTGGGACGCATGCGGGCGGCGCCGCCGATACCTTCAGTGGAAATCCCGATGGTGGCCACAAAACGTATGAGGAGTGTGCCGAAATTAGCTGCTGAGAGGCGTACGGGCGGCGCCACTGGTGCCTTCGGTGGACCTCCCTTGGGGGCCGCGAAACGTGTGAGGGGCGTGCCGGCATGAATGCATGGGACGCATGCGGGCGGCGCCACTGAGACCTTCGGTGGGGCTCCCTATGGGGCCACGAAACGTGTGAGGGGTGTGCCGGCATGAACGCCTGGGACGCATGCGGGCTCGCACGCAGACTGGAGTCGGTAGGGAGCGGCCTCAGCGCCATTGGGGCCTCGGTGGAGCTCCCTATGGAGCCACAAAGCATGTGAGGGGCGTGCCGAAGTGAGCGGCTGGGACGCATGCGGGCGGCGCCACTGGGACCCTCGGTGGAGCTCCTTATGAGGCCACGAAACATGAGAGGGTGTGCCGAAATGAGCGGCTGGGACGCATGCGGGCGGCGCCACTGGGGCCTTCGGTGGAGCTCCCCAGGGGGGCGCGAAACGTGTTGGGACGCATGCGGGCTGCACCACTGGGGCCTTCGGTGGGGCCCCCTATTGGGCCACGAAACGTGTGAGGGATGTGCCGAAATGAGCGGCTGGGACGCACGCGGGCGGTGCCATTAGGGCCTTCGGTGGAGCTCCTTATGGGGCCACGAAACATGTAAGGGGTGGACCGAAATGAGCGGCTGGGACGCATGCGGGCGCTGCCACGTTGGCCGTCGGTGGAGCTATCTCTCTGGGGCCACGGTCCTCGTGAGGGGTCTGCCAAAACCGTGGACATGCGGAGAGCAGAGGCAGGGATGGGAGGAGGGAGGAGGAGGCGGAAGGAGAAGAGGTGAGGAGAGGTGAGGAGAGGAGAGGAGAGGAGAGGAGAGGAGCGGAGGGCGGAGGGGAGGAAAACGAGAGAGACCGAGAGGGAGGAGAGGAGAGGATGAGGAGAGGAGAAGAGGAGGAGAGGAGAGGAGAGGAGAGGAGAGGAGAGGAGAGAGAGGAGAGGAGAGGAGAGGAGAGAGGATAAGGAGAGAGAGGAGAGGAGAGGAGAGAGAGGAGAGGAGAGGTAGGGAGAGGAGAGGAGAGGAGAGTAGAGGAGAGGAGGGGAGAGGAGAGTAGAGGAGAGGAGAGGGAGGAGAGGAGAGGAGAGGATGGGAGAGGAGGGGAGAGGAGAGGAGAAGAAGAGGAGAGGAGAGGAGGGAGAGGAGAGGAGAGGAGAGGAGAGGGAGGGGAGAAGGAGAGGAGAGGAGGGGGCGGAGAGGAGAGGAGAGAGGAGAGGAGAGGAGAGGAGAGGGAGGGGGAGGAGCGGAGAGATGAAGAGGCAGAGAGGGACAGAGGAGAGAGAACAGAGGAGAGAGGAGAGAGGAGAGAGGAGAGAGGAGAGAGGAGAGAGGAGAGGAGAGGAGAGGAAAGGAGAGGAGACGAGAGGAAGAGGAGAGAGGAGAGAGGAGAGAGGAGAGAGGAGAGACGAGACGAGAGGCGAGGCGAGGAGAGGAGAGGAGAGGAGGAGAGGAGAGGAGAGGGTACGAGAGGAGAGGAGAGGAGACGCGGGGCGCTGCCACTTCACAACGAGGACCCAACACCACAGGATGGTTGGGGAAAACACACACCACAACAACAACAGCAACAGCAACAACAACAACAACAACAGCAAGAACAAGAACAAGAACAAGAACAAGAACAACAACAACAACAACAACAACAACAACAACAACAACAACAACAACAACAACAACAACAACAACAACAACAACAATTACTAGCACGTGGGGGACACTCCGTTCTCACCAGTGCCAGGGTTTTCATAGGAGGCGGGCAATACCCCCACTATGTGGGGGGGCCGGTTCAAGCTCTACCACATTTCCAAACGACTCTTCGCCACCACCCACACCCAGCTTCCCGCCCTATGACGTTCGGACACCTCACTTCGTGGCCTGCGGACGACCTTGGCTACTACACTGGCGCATGGGTACAATGACTTGTTGTGGTAACATTTTCTGTAAGCTAGCTTAGTATACGACTTTTCTCCCTGCAATTGAAGATTTCGGCGTGCGCGCGCGAAGAAAAAACGAATGTGTCCCATATGGTATTATTTGACAGGGATGATGGCCCTGGCAGGCGCGCAACCGTTGTTGCAGAAGTTCGAAGCACGTGAAAAAGTTGCTCGCAAGAGCCCGTTTGACAGAAATGTTCAAAAAGTATTGGGTTTCCTAAGAAATCCGCAAGAGCGCGCGGGATGAATTTTTGAAACTTTTTTTTTGA